TATATTACGTTAATAATAAGTCGGACGTTATAGACTATAGGCTATAACTAGGTAATTAAGTAATTAGAATTAAAGATAAGATCGTAATAGAGATCGTAATAATTATATTAAAAGCTATCGAGCTATCTATTTAAAGGAGTAAAATTAAGTAGCTATATATACCTATAAAGACTATTCTTAGATTATAGGCCTAGCTATAATCCCTAACGTTAGATTATATAAAGTATAGTAATCTTATTAATCTTAGATTACTTAGATCTCTACGATCCCCTTAATCCTATATCTATTAAATAGTTATACTAACTATTTATCTATTAGACTATATTACGTATTTAACGCGGTCGACTATTAGCGGCCTAGTAGCCGTTATTATAATATAATATCTCCCTTCCTTTTAGTCTTATTTATAAGACCTACTATAGCTACCTTAGCCGCCGTATATAAATATACCCTTATTACGTTATATATAAGTATATCGTTCTTTATTTCTTTATCCTTTTAAGATATACTACTAATAGTATATTTCGTTATATACTAAAAAATCGTTCTTAAAAAGCCTTTAAGCGCGCTACTCTTACTAAATATATTAACTTAAGTAAAGATCCTACTAATATACTATATACTTAATACTTTAAGGTAAAGAAGATAAATTATTAAATAGCTAAAAACTCTTCGCGCTATAATAATTATATTACTAGTAGTCGTCCCTATTATAATAGTATTTTAGTAGCCTCTTCTTATAAGTATATTTTAATTCTTTCTATATATAGTAGCTAATATATTTCTTTTAATAACTAAATTATTAGCGGAGTAGTATAGGCTATATTCTAAAGAGGAGGAAGCTAGGGAAGCCTTATTAGAGCTTTAAGTATAGCTTATAAACCGTTAGTTATAAATATCTATCGCTATTAATCGTTTAGCTTATATCTAGAAGATTTAAAATCGTATAAAGGAAAAGAGTTCTAAGTTATTTCGGTATAGTATCTAGGAAGTAAATACTAAGGATAGCGTTTTACCTACGTTTAATATATATAAGTATTAAGTAGTAAATAACTTATAATTATTAGGCGTTCTTAATAAAGCGAATTAGTCCTTATTTAGTATTAATAAGGAGTTTATAGATCTTAGTCCTTTAATCCCTCCTAAACCTTTTAGTAAAATTATCGAAGTAAAGAGCTATAATAGGTTAAGTGCTTAAGTAGTTCCTAGGTATTTTCCTTTAGTCTATATCCTTTTTACTTAATAAGGTATTCTTATTACTAACCTTATTTTCTTATATTTAGTATTTATTTTACTTTATATTCTTAATCGTTATTAACTTTAATTTTTTCCTATAGTTTAGCGTTTTATAGCGCTAGGTTTAATAATAAGATATAAAATATTAAGTATATCTAGATTATTATTAGTAGCGAAAGTTTATAGTTAACTTTAAAAATAGTTTTCTTAACCTTAAATAGTTTAAGTTTCTTAAAATCTAATTTATTACTTAGTTATTTTATTTTAATATTTTATTATATAAGGTAGACTATATCTCCCTCTTAAAAGATTAGTCCTTATAATCTTTTCCGATTATAGTAAGTAGATATTTATACTCTAATAAATTAAAGTTCTTATTATATTTCTTTATATAATTTTTATAGCTAATCTACTTATAGTCTCGCTCGTTCTACTTATAGTTCTTATTAAGTAACCTTAAATACTTCTAGGTTATATCTATAATTAGCGTATACTAATAAGAGCTTAGTTATTTCTATAACTAAGCTACTATAAGCTAGTTACGCTATTAATAGCTATTTAACTTAATCGTTTTATTTATAGCTAATATAGTATTATAAATATTATTTAAACGTTTAGTTAAGTCGTTTTATTTATCTATTTATTTATAAGTAATAAGCTATACTAAGCTTATATTTCGTCCTTAATTATACTATAAGAGCTTATTAAAACTTAGCTATAAATATACTTCCTTTATTAAAGATAATCTTATTTAATAGTCTATAATTACTAATAATTATTTATAGGAATATATATCCTAGCTCTTTTATATTACTTACTTCTTTATATAGTAAAAGGTATCTATACTTTATTAGTTTATCGGTAATAATAAATATACTATTATACTAACGTTAGTTATAAGTTCTTTTAATAGTAATAGCTTTATAATATAGTTAAAAGCTATTAAATCTTATAGTTTTTCTAGTACTAGTAATAGTTATAATTCTTTATATAGTTTATATCTTTTAGCTTTACTTTATATATAAAGTTTATATTCTTTAATAACTTATTATACTACTTCTTTAAGCTATAAGAAGTTATATTATCGTTTAATTTATTATATTATTCTTTAGATTCCTTAATATCTATATATTAAATATTTATATATATCTTATATAATTTTATATTATAATTCTAGTAGTATCTAGATTTTATTTTTATATATTAAAACTTCTAAATATCTTATATTATATCTATTTAATACTTTATATTCTTTTATTTATTTTAGGATCTTTTAGTATATTAAGTTATTAGGTTATACTTTAAATATTATATTTAGCTATCGTTACTAATAGTTCCTATTTTTAATAATTTCTAGGAGCTATCCTTTTACTATAAGTACCCCTATATTATAGTTACTTTATCGACTAAAGGTATTAGCTTAACTATTTTCTATTCTTATTTTATAGATTATTTTATAGTTAAATTTTAATAAGTATTCGGCCTATTAGATCTATTATCTATTTAACTATTATATTATTATAAAGTATAAGATATTTTTATAATCTATATAATATCGCGAAGCGTAGCTTAATTTCGTAGTTCTCTAAGATATACCTTAGCACGAGGGACTAAGGAAGCTAAAAACACCCGGTATAGAAGAAGGAAGAAGGAGCTAAAAAGAGGTATAGAAAGGAGGGTAGGGGTATAAGGGGAAGTAGAAGTAGCGATAGCTTCCTATAGAGGTAGCGAGAGATAAGACGGATATACCGGCAACGGCTAGAAAGGAGGGGAAAAACCAGTAAAAAGCTTAGTAGTCGAAAGGATATTAGTAGCTTCTTTAAGCAGGATCTTCTTTATTAATTAAGATGCTAAATAGATATAAAGAGGGGCGTTAGATAGAGGAAAGAAGGATAATTAAGGTAATATAATAATTACTCCCCTACCGTAATTGCTGCTCCTATAAGAATTAAATATCTCTGCCCTACCTATCCGACCCCTTACTTCTACTTTTACCTTTATATATTTTATATATACTTCTCGTATCTCTCTTTACGAGATATAAACCTTAACTTTATACTTACTTCTAAGAAGGTAGTATCGAAATTCCTTAAAAGCTTAAATAATTATAAGGAATTCTTTATTATAGATAAGGTAATTAAGTTCTACGCTATATAGCTTCTTTAAATAGAATATAATCGGTTATAGTCTTCCTTTATTATCTTTTTATTTAATTTATACTCTTAAAGTAAAGTCTAATATATTAGTTTTAAGTTCTATTTATTATTCTAGATTAAAGGTAGTTAAGACTAGTTCTTATATAATTATAGTCTTAATATATTCGAAAGCTTCGTTAGCTTTATTATCCTATATAAATCCTTTTTCCTTCTTTATTGAGTTATATAGTAGTACTATAATCTTTCTAAAATCTTTAATAAATCGTTAGTAGTAATTCGTAAATCCTAGGAAACTTTATATATCCTTAACGTTCTTTAGTATTAGCTATTCTTTAACTAAGTTAATCTTATTTTATTATATTTATATCTCTCTTAGTAAGATTATATATTTAAGGAAGTTTACTTCTTATATATAGAACTTACCTTTCTTTAGTTTAACTAGTAACTTTATATTTTAAAGTACGTAGAGTACTTTATAGATATATTCCTTATTCTTCTAAGGTATCTAAGAAGATTAAGATATTATCTAAGTATACTACTATAAAGATATCTAAGTATTCGTATAGGATATTATTAATTATCTATTAAAATATAGCTAGTATATTTATAAGTCTAAATAGTATAACTAGATATTTAAATAGTCTAAATTTTATTTTAAAAGCTATTATCTATTTATATTCCTTTTTTATATATATTAAGTTATAGGCGCCTTTAAGGTTAAGGGCTATAAACTATTTTTTACTATATAGTTAATCTTATAGTTCTAATATAAGTAGTAATAGTATTCGGTCTTTTATTATAATATCGTTTAAGCGTTTATAGTTAATAACTAGTTATAGCTTACTATTTTTCTTTAAAATAAATATAACTAGGTAGCCTACTTTAAATATTAATGTTTATATATATCCCTTTTATAGATTCTTATTAAGGTAGTTATATAGTATTTATAGTTACTTTTCGTTTAAGTTATAGATCTTATAAAACGTTAGCGTTATTCTATCCTTAAGATAAATTTCGTAGTCCTATTAGCTATATTTAGGTAACCCTATCTTAAGTTCTTCCTTAAAGAGTTTATTATATTTCCGGTATTTATAGGGGATATTCTTTATTTTATTTTATAGGCTTTATTCTTTCTTTTAAGAGCTAGTTTCTCTTAACTTAAGCTCTTTATTAATTTATTTAAGGTCTTTCCTTAAAGTAGTAATAACTCTTTAAATCTTTATATTTGTAAGGGGCTACGCCCCGATGTGTAGATCTGGCATGGCCAGACTAGTCACGTGCGAGCGCCACGGACACGACTCCTAAAGGGAGCGATGTAGACACGTCTCCCCTTTACACTCTTTGTAGCTCAATTTACATCAATTACGCCCAGCACCTGTGCCAACAGTGCTGACCCTGTAACATATTGAGCTACCAGTTAACAAAAGACAGGACAGACAGAAGGACAGACAGCAGGACAGACAGCAGGACAGACAGCAGGACAGACAGCAGGACAGTCAGCAGGACAGTCAGCAGGACAGACAGCAAGACAGGCGATAGGCTAAACGACGAGACGGACGATCGATCGGACGACGAGACGGACGAACAAGATGGAGGACAATAGTAGTTATGCAGGGCACCGCGACCGGCGGCGCAACGAGCCGATGGAGGAAGGAGCAAGAGCTCTTGCAGATCTTATCTGGGATCGCGGGAGACGAAGAACTGCGGAAGATGTTCACCGGGCTAGGCCTAGCAGCGCCACCGTTGACACCCAGCCCGGGGGTGCTCAGTACCCCGGCGATCTTACCCGTCGAACCGAGGCCGGAAGCAGCCCAGGAAATGGACCGTGGCAAGAAGCGCAAGCCGATGACTTGGCCGAAGTGGAACGGTCAACCCGAGTCCTTCCACTTCTACCTCGACCGTCTGGTATTTAAGTACAATACCGACGAAGAGGAGGGCCTAAACGGCAATAACAACGTCGTGTGGTACGAGATCCTGCAGACCTTGCCGGATCAGATGATGAGGAGAGTCGAGGGTTTTGGGCAAGAGAGCGCGAAGGGCAACCCAGACCCCGGAAATTCTTCTCGCACCTAGCCCAGACGTTCGGCAGCGTGCAGCAGACAGAGAGGGCGCAGGACAGGCTGCGCACCTCATTCAACGAGACAGCCAAGAGTTTGGGAAGTTCCTCCTGAATTCGAGGAAACATTGACCAAAGCGGGCGGCGCGAGCTGATAATGCTTCCAAGCTCGCATGGCTACGGAACTCGATCTCTCCTGCTCTCCGTGAGCAACTAGTCCCGGTTATCATGCCGAAGGACTACAACGAGTACATCCAACGTCTACACCCGATTGCTTGGGCGTTCGAGCACACCGCGAAGTTTAAGGCGTTGCAGAGGAAGCAGGGCTCCCGCGGGCAACGTGACCAAGGGCAGGCATCAGGCATCGGCAACATCCAGGTCGCCGGTAACGACAACACCCCGGCACCGTCAGCAACGTTACCCGCCGAGCAGAACGCACGTGACGCACGCGACCATGACGGCGACGTAATAATGACGGTTACACGCACTCAGGGCAGGGTCAGAGAGGACGGGCGAACGGCCGGGGTCAAGTGGAACGAGCAAGACGGTTCGCTTCCAGCCTAGGTCAGGACGGAAGCAACGGGCGAGGTGGGTATCCGAGGACGAACGGAATAAACGCCGTGACGAGGGTCGTTGTCTCCGCTGCGGCGACAACACCCATTTCATTGCCGCTTGCCCCTACTCGCCAGGACAGGACCCTAGCCGGTCGAGGGATGTAAAAGTCCGCACCGCTAGGATCATGCCCTTGCTGGAAGATGATGGTAACGACTCTAGTGAGGAAGAGTCAGGACTTAGCGAGACCCCATCCTCTCGGAAATGCGTAGCCTCGAAACAAAGACGGGTCTCGAGGCCAAAGAACGGAGCAGTGGCAAAAGAGAAGTTCTCAGGAAAAATGGAAGTTGGTCCTACAATAATTCGAAGCATTATCAATAGGACCAATCTCTTCTCCTCACTCGTAGACGAGGGATGCCAGTGCTACGCCGCGGTTGACGAAGAAGTCGTCGAAAAGTTGGAAGTTCCTATAGTGGAAATAGCACCGCGAGCTATTACAGGAGCATCAGGGGCAATGGAAGGAGCAACGATTAGGGGCCTCGTATGGCTATCAATGGAGGTCAACGGCCACATACAGACGATCTGTGCCTACGTGGTGCCCCGATTGGAATTCCCCCTAATCCTAGGAAAACCCTGGTTATGCCACACAAAGTCGTACTCAGTGCCCCACGAGAAACGACTATGGCATGAACCTACACAGACTGGGTAGATCACCTCGGGAAGGAGAATATTCTGCGAAAGCCAAGGAGTTCGAAGAAGCAAAGCACGTACTAGCCAGTACCTTTGTGGGTTACTTTGAAAGGATCCGCAAGCAGGAAGGAAGAGAGGCAGCTGCCACGGCGATTTTCGCTATCAGCATGAAGGATATCGAAAGGGCGTTATCACCAAAGAAACCCATGTCAGAAGCAGAGCTACGCCGAACGATACCCCAGCGGTTCCACGATTTACTGCCTCTATTTATGAAGAAGGAAGCTGATAAGCTGAATCCTCATAAGCCAGGCATAGACCACGAAATCAGAATCAAGGAGGACCCGAATGGCCAGCAGTTACCACTACCGTATGGAGCACTATACGGTATGTCACGAGAGGAACTCCTGGTTCTTAAGAAGACTCTACGAGACCTAGTGGATAAAGGATTTATCCGTGCAAGCAGTTCAGAAGCAGCAGCTCCAGTCCTGTTTGTGAGGAAACCAGGTGGCGGGCTGCGATTCTGTTGTGACTACAGAGCGTTGAACGCAATCACTAAGTCGGACCGTTACCCTTCCTCTAATAGGGACACACTTCGCAACCTAAAAGATGCGAAGTGGTTCACTAAGGTCGACGTGGTACAAGCGTTCCATAAAGTACGGGTTGCAGAAGGAGACGAGTGGAAGACAGCGTTCCGCACCCGGTACGGTCTCTTCGAATGGATGGTTACCCCGTTCGGGCTAAGTGGCGCGCCAGCAACCTTCCAGCGGTATATTAACGGTATCCTACGAGACTACCTCGACGAGTTCGCCTCTGCTTATATGGACGATATACTTATCTATTCGAGCGGGAGCAGAGAAGACCATTTCCGGAAGGTACGGTTAGTTTTAGAACGCCTCGCCGAGCATGGACTACACCTAGACCCGGAGAAATGCGAATTTGGAGTCAAGCGGATTAAGTACCTAGGATTCATTATTCACGCAGGAATTGGCATTCAGGCAGATCCCGACAGGATACGAGCAATAGTCGAGTGGGCAGTCCCGTTACCCAGAAGGGGTGCGCAGTTTTCTAGGATTCGTTAACTACTACCGGATATTTATACCGCAAGCCTCGGAAATAACTGCACCCCTAACAGCACTAACAGGAAAGGGGACTAAGTTCAAGTGGACGGACGAGCACGATATGGCGTTCCAGACACTAAAGACGCTATTTACGAACGCCCTATTCTTACTCAATGGGATTTCGAGAGGCCAACCTTCGTAGAAGCAGACTGTAGCGGCTGGGCGCTTGGGGCACACTTACGCAGGAAGTCGACGGACAACGCAAGCCAGTAGCGTTCCACTCGCAGAAGCTATCACCGGCTGAGCGCAACTACCCAATCCATGATAAGGAAATGCTCGCTATTATTCGTTGTCTCGAACAATGGTCAGCCGAGCTACGAAGCTGTGATAACTTCGTTATCCTTACCGACCATAAGAACCTCGAGTATTTCATGACGCGCCAACAGCTCTCGGAAAGGCAGGCACGTTGGGCTGAATATCTCTCGCGTTTTAACTTCCAGCTCCAGTACCGTCCGGGACGGAAGCAGTGGTGCCAGACGCGCTCTCGCCGCGAACAGGACCGACCAAACGAAGCGGATCACGAAGCACGAGATATGCAGCTTATTCCAGAAGCAGCCCTACGTACCTACGTCGGAGTAACGTCGACTCAAGCGGGAGAAGGCGAAGAAGAACACACGGTTTTCCACGACCCAGAGCTACAACAATTATGGCAGCAAACGGCAAACCAGGATCCAGTCTTTACAAGCGTTTATAACGCGGTACGAAACGGATCTCGGTCCCTCGACCCCAAGCTTAAGCTGAAGGTACAAGTCGCCGAGTGCTTTATTGATCCTCGGGGGCACCTACGACTACGTGGCCGCTTATGGGTGCCAGGCGCACCGATCACGACAGAAGCAGCAGCCAAGGCAGCACCGCTAGAGCAGGAGTCGCTAAACGAATTACGGGCTCCTTAATCCAGAAGGTTCATGACTCCCATGTAGTAGGCCACCCGGGACGGGAAGGGACGATAGAAGCCGTATCCAGGGACTTCTACTGGCCGCTAATGCAACAGCATATCCGACGTTTCTTGCGTAACTGCGATGTCTGCGGCCGTACGAAGATATGGCGCGAGCATAAAAGGGTCTACTTAGACCGCTACCCGTACCGGACCGCTTCTTCCGCCAGATACAGATGGACTTTATTACGGACCTCCCCCTTGCGAACGGTAACCGCTGCCTCTGGGTTATCAAGGACCGGCTAAGTAAGGAAGTTATACTCGAACCGATGCCAACGATGGAAGCGGAAGCATGTGCAGAGCGTTTTCTATGGTGCTTCGCCCGCTACCACTGGTGGCCCGACGCTATAACGAGCGATAGGGGCTCGAATTGGGTAGGCCGCTTTTGGAGGCACATGTGCAAGTTACTGGGGATCGACCAGCAGCTAAGCACGGCGTACCACCCCCAAACCGACGGAGGCCCTGAGAGGATGAACCAAGAAGTACAGGCATACCTCCGCGCCGTGATTAACCAGAACCAGAACGACTGGGATAAGTGGGTTCCCGCGGCTCAGATGGCGTTAAACGGTCGGGTCAATACCTCTATAGGATGTCCCCATTCTTCGCTATACACGGCTATGAGCCGAAGTCACCAGTTCCTCGTTACGGAAGCATATGCGGAAGAGTATCCTCAGCATTCGCCAGAAACCAGGGCAAAGAAATTTGTTACCAAACTACAACAGATTACGGACCTCTGCCAAGCATCAATGGCGACAGCTACGCAGCAACAAGAACGCTTCGCTAACAGACGACGGAACGCGGCAGAACGCTTCGAAGTAGGCGATAAGGTTTGGCTTGACTTACGGAACTACGCGTCAGAGCGACCTAAGAAGAAGTTCGACTGGCTGCACGCTAAGTATACGATAAGCAAGGTACTCGACCCGTACACGGTTGAACTAGCAGCCCTCCCGAGGGCTGCTATAATAGGTTCCACGTCGACCAACTCCGGAGAGCGGGGACGGACCCAATGCCTGGTCAGCAACGCACAGACGCTCAACCCCATCTATCCAAGTAGACGGGAGGCTCACCAAGTAGTAGAGGAAATACTATGCGCTAGGTGGAAGAGAACCGGCCGCGGCCGTAGGCGGGAAGTCCTTGTACGCTGGCAAGGTTGGCAAGACCCGACCTGGACCTCTTTAGACAATATGCAACAGACAGCGGCCTTGGATAAGTACGAACAGAGATACGGCCCGGCTCTCGAAAACGATGGACCATACCAGCACCGACGAGTGGCAACGGAAGCACAGCCGGCCCAAATCCAGGGGCAAGTCGAAGGAATACAACCACAGCTGCAGATACAGGGCAAGAGAATACGCGGACCACTACGGGCTAGGACTAATGGCGACGCCCCGTCGATAGTAACGGCACCAGACCCTATAGACGACGGCCCTACGATCGTTGTAGAGGACCAGGAACAGGAAAAGGGCACCAGCGCCAGAGAGGAGTAGGGGCTAATGTGAGGCTACGCCCCGATGTGTAGATCTGGCATGGCCAGACTAGTCACGTGCGAGCGCCACGGACACGACTCCTAAAGGGAGCGATGTAGACACGTCTCCCCTTTACACTCTTTGTAGCTCAATTTACATCAATTACGCCCAGCACCTGTGCCAACAGTGCTGACCCCGTAACAATATTATATCCTTTATTTTATTTATATTAGATACTAGGTTATATAGCCGTATTA